AAGCCTTTAAGTTGACAGTGGTTAAGGAGATACCTGAGCCCAACTGAAGTCTCTGGAGAGATTGAATTCAACTGGCATAAACTTACACAGTATAACGTGTGCATGGCTTTCAGTTCTGCTGAAAATTGCAAGCAGTGGTGACTCCTACTTTTTGCTTAATACCCCAGTGATTAGAAGTTCCTTTGAAGAAGTGAGAGATGGAAGTTGTAAGTTTTACATGGTCTTGAAAGCTTCACTTTCTAGAAGAATACCCTAAACATGAGGCTGCAGGCAAGGTTGGAAAGGGACCATTCTTTGACCTTCCCACGCATACAAGATTTACAGGGTCAGAGAGAGAAAAATAAAACAAGAGAGCTTAACTGTGGCTTGCTAATGAGCATCCTTCCCTGGCAGGGAAAGGGGAGTCCTGGGTTCTTGCTCCTACTTGAGAAAGAAAGTGCTTACAGATTTTCATGGAATCAGATGCATTAATAGGGCCAGGAGAAAATAATGTATTTCCTGAAAGGATCTTTTCTACCTATTTCATTTTGCAGTCTGTGTTCTGAACTTTTACTGAAGACATTAAATGTATTGAACAGCGGTGACTGTCCTGTTAATTTTTGAGCTTGGCTGGCACAGTGCTCGTTTGCTAAGTCTGACTGGTGAAACGTGCAAAGATCAGTACTCTGCGCTCTCAGCTGGTTCACTGGGATGACATAATTAATGTTGCAGAGATTGAGACAACAGATGTGCTAGTCTCTCTCTGAATTAGGAGTAGAGTGATTCCTGTATTGCCGTCCAAGAGAAGATAACATTACTTTACCTAGCAGGGAGATACTCCAAATTGCTGCTAGCTATTGGCCAGATTATGCTGAACTGCTCAAGGAAGGCGCAATGAGTCCTGTTCCCGTTCTTGTGCCCTTGCCCATTTATTTGAATCCAGTTATGTTCCTCTTACAGGGTGGTGACAAGTAGTGAGAGAAACACAGTCTGCGGTGGGAGTATGTTACCTCCACAAAAGCTGTGGAAATATGTCTGGTCTCTTCGTTCAGTGGGAAATTCCTGGAAGAAATGTGACTCTTAAATGCAATTTCTCTGAGGCAGCCTTTGGAGCAAGGCTACTGCTAGTTTTGAATGAGCCCAGGAAAAGCAAAGGAAGCATTTCTTGGTTAAGAGGAATGTGATATCCGTGGTTTCATTTCTCCATTGAAAAAAATGTAGTAAGTTGGCAGCTGGGGAGCTGGAGCCATTGAGGTTGTAAATGCTAATTAAAAAATCCCCTCATGCTTTCTGTATAACTTCTCTTAAGTGCATCAGCTTTGTTTGGTAGATTTTTGCAAACCCTCCAACAAAGAAAAGCGCAGACCTTTGAATCTTGGAACTAACTCTAGAAAATCCATGTCTTACTCCACTCAGCAAGAATTGTCTTATGACAGAAATCATATTAGCTCGTTTCCTGTTTGTGCATTATAAGTAAGCCTGGCAAAAATCAAGGGAAGAACATGGGCATCCTGAGAGAATTACTGATGCTTCTACCAGAAGGTGTCTATAAGCGTTTAGTTCACTGGTCTAAAGGGAGGGAACATGGGGAAGATACGGAGGTTAGCAATAAAAACACACCAATGCTTTCTGTGTAATATAACCACAAATAAACAGTAACTCAGTCTGTAACAAGATCTTTACAGTTCTCTTTCAGTGACCTGAGACAACCCTGAGTCCTCTCCTGTTTGTGATCATGTAAGACCTTTGCCCTGTGTGTATCACAGAGAAAGAGGAAACCTGTGTAATAGATTTTTCATTCATGCATGAAATCACAGAAGATTTTACTGTTTTTTTGGGAAGACAGTGCTTCCTGGGAAGAATTTGTTACTGCCTTAATCTTAAATTTAAGAGACATTTGAGTGGTTAAGGAGAATAGCTTAATATTCATATATCGCTAAAGTTGTTGTTTAACTTGCTGTCTGTGAAAAGACCCAGAAAGACCTGTGAAAGGCTGGCAGTTTGTGCTAATGTCCTTTGGCCTTGCTGATTCAAAACAATTTCTATGTGACTTTTTTTGTTGCTTCTGCTTTGTTGCTTTAGTCCCTTTCCTTCTTTCTGTGTCCTAATTCTGCAGTGCAGACACTTCCTGTACCAGCTGGTATTTCAGATGGCATCTTATGAATGCATGCCTCGTGGGTTTTCGCCGACTTTTGGGGAGTTGATCAGGCAGCTCTCACAAAGATGTTGTGAGGTTGCCTCTTCTCTTTCCATTGATGAATCCATGCTCCTGAGCTATGCAGTTTACTGGCTTTCCAAAAGTTGAGCTTGCAAGTTACAAATGCTTTCTTACTGTAGCATATAGGAAGGATAAGCATTCACATTCTTAGTACCAGCTTCACTTTTTACTGAGGGTGATAATACAGCTTCTCGTAGCATGCCTCAGGGCCAGGTCTTTGTCTTTTGTCTACCTTGCCACAAAAAATATGAGAGTGCGCTTTATATATTCTTCCTTACTGGAGACTGAGTATGGTCTAGAGAAACCTTGTGAGTTGAAATCTTTCCCTTTTCCCTTTCCATTTTTGAGTGAAGTGTGGAGGAGATATCTTCCCACATGGGGAAGGAAAATATTATTTTAAAGCCTTTAAACAGCCAAGAGGCTGTTTAGATTTATCATCACTGTTAAGATGAAGCTTCTTTGGAAGGATAAGGTGAATTAAAAACAGAAAAATCAGAAGTAATGTGGCAACTGCATACTACTATCAGGCTAGGACTTTAACATTGCGTTTGAATTTTCTAGATTTTTGTTGATCTCAACACCTTTGTTTTGAATGAGAGGAAGTCAAACTGGTAGTTCCCGAAACCTTCACAGACAAAGATTTCTAGGGTGACATATAGATATACATGTAACTAATGGGGGACGGAAGAGGAACCAGGGACAAGAGAATTGAGAAATGTAAGAGATGTCAGAATTCATTGTATGTGAAGGTAATTTCATTGTTTCAAAGGCTTATTTTTTATTTTTTAACAAATGTTGAGAAAAGGACCAAAATTAATATCCTGAGGAAATGAATTTGGCTCTCTGCAGTTTGTCACAGCAAATGTATGTGGAAGGGTAGTTTCTTAGCTTAGTAGGTCATTGAGAACGAAGCTTGCAGAAGCGTTGAATACAGCTGTGACGTGTGCTGCCGGAGGTACAAAACTGGTATAACCTCACTTTCATTCTCTCAGGAATTAGCTTGGCTGCTAGTTTACTATATAACCTCTACGACTGGGAGGTAATTCAGGAATATCTTGCAAACCATGTTCTGCAAGCTTCACATGAGATACACTCTGGTCTCTTACAAAGTTATTTGGGTATCGTGAAACTTTCCCTATACCATAAAGCTATTGAGAATTAGTACTGTTGTTTAAAGCTCCAGCACAGTGCTCTGAAAATAAAGGAATACTTTTTGGTATATTGTATGTGAATAGCATGTGTGAATATAATATATGCAAACATATATGTGTATGTGTGCATATATATACACTGTCTCTCACCCCGTCACCCCCTTGGTGTTGGCTGCCTGCATGCATGTAAGATGCAAACACGAAAACTACAGCGTGACTATATTATCGTGATTCGTCAGGTCAGTGATTATAGGATGAAGAGTATAAGTCTCCAGAAATATTGAATAAATACAAATAGGGGAAAAAGAAAACTTGAAAATCTAATAGTGAAAGCATTCAATAATATTTCTGCCATACAGGTCTACTTTACAGTATTTTATCCACATTAACTAACTAATTAGTCCTTTATGATTTGTAGAACAATTGTTTCCAAGAAAAATGTCTTTTGTAGAGCAACCATCAACATTTGTCTCTAGTGTTACTATATTTTTACGGCAAATTTCATTCTGTATGAAAAATACCATTATTTCTTATAATGAAGTAGGAAAAGTTCATCAAAGTGGCAGAAGTGATGTATCAAACCCTTTTTGGGTACTAATAATTGTTACTAGTCACTATTATTTTCTTTTTTAAGTCTCTTCCTTGCTGCAGATGTAGGGCTGATTTAATGGCCTTATTAATTTTTAGGTGTTTAGTATTAAAGAGTGTAATATTTATCATTCAAATAGCAGCTCAATTTGAATTCAAAGGAAAATGAAACGATTATTTCCTCTTTTGTATGTAACAGTAAAGGCCTTTATATATTCTGGACTCTGATAGACATACTTGTATGCTATGAAAGAGCTTTGCAAACACTCTGATTCCAGAAGTTTCTTTTTCCGTTCATTTAATAAACTGTCATTTTTATGGGATTGAAAATTTGGAAAAAATATTAACATGAGACGTTTTAATGATGAGATAGATAACTATAAGGCTTTAACACAGATGAGTCTTGGTATTCAAAACAGAATCCACATCTCTGGTGCTGCACCTCTGTATAACACTGCTGAAATCAGTTCTTAAGAGACACACCAGAAAATCATAAATTTTATTTCTCAGGTAATTGTAGATTTATGCAATGAAGAAATTTAATACATTCTTCAAGGGAGCATTGGTTCTAAATTGTTTTGAGATTTTTATAGTGTGATAATGCTTTTCTGATTTATGAAGATAGAGATTTAGAAGCAGTTTTATTCATGAATGGTTTAAGAAATGTTTCTGTCCAGATGTTGTGTGTGAAGACATTTGATTCAACATTTCTGGCAAATCCTGCATCTAGCAGAAGGAGTTGCAAAGCTCCCGTTGGAGGGAAGCAGCACTGGGTTTTTGTTTAGTGAAGGGTACAATTATTTAAGGAGATATTTCATTCCAAGGACATTTCTGAAGACCACAACAAAGGTGGTGTCCAGTTGTCTAAGTATCTTTTTCATTTGCTTTCAATAATTGTACCTCCAAGTGGAATTAACTTTTCTGTCAGTTCTGATCAAAGCGTTTTCATGATAAACTGATTTGTTTTCATTTTGGTCTATCTGCCAGTCTAAATAACAAAAAAGAGTATTGCTGATAGCTGTATGATTTTATAAAGTCTTTTTTTTTTCCCTCTCTCCAAACAGGCCATCTGTGGAAAAGAGAAGAGAGAAAAAATGAAGTGCCTATTGTTAATATTTTTCATGATTTTCTTACCACGATTTTCTGGGAAATCTTTGAACAGAGATAGCAATTACCCCAAAACATTTGAAGACATTAAAAAAGAGATAGCTGGCTATTCCAACATTGCTAAAGCTATTATTGATCTTGCTGTTCATGGAAAAGCTCAGAACAGATCCTATGAAAGATTAGCAGTTTTTGCTGATACCATAGGACCTAGACTCAGTGGTTCAAAGAATCTAGATGCAGCCATCAAGTATATGTTCAGTGCCCTGCAGGAAGACAGGCTGGAAAATGTGCATCTGGAGCCCGTGCAAGTGCCTCACTGGGAAAGAGGAGAAGAGTTTGCAATGATGCTGGAACCAAGGAATCACAGCATTGCTATTTTAGGACTTGGGAGCAGCGTTGCAACTCCTCCAGAAGGTAACAATACTTCCTCTTGGAATTAATTCTCAGTCACTTTTCAGCATCAAAAGTGTGGTGGACAAACTGAAGTTTTCTTCCTCCTGTAATAGTTCTGCAAGACGAGGTATTGTCTTGCTGGAACTGTTATGCATGACATGGCTGTAAGTGAGGCAGTTTGATCGAGTTCAGTCTGATTGAACTGGCGTTTACTATCGCCACTGATTCCTGAATCCCCTGTTAAATCTATATCCAGCGAGCCTTGTTTTTTAGCACTGCTGAAACTTCTTGCCAAAGACTCTGCTCCTCTGCTGAGATTGGTGGGCAATTTGTTCCTGTGATTTGGGGGTTTCCAGGCCTTCTATTTACTCTCTTTAGCCAGAGAAATCCCCAGTGGGTTGCTGACCGCTGCTGCTCTTGCCGTGCTTTGTCCTGTGAAGCTCAGCACTCCACTCTGTCCGAAAACAAGACTGCAGGAAGAGAAGGAGAATCTCCTGCTGAGGCTGGAAAGTACCTATCCCCCTTGCTAAGCTTGGCATTTGACTTCTTTGTAGAATACTTAGAACACATCTATATTTTTTATGAAAAAATAAATTTAGTTTAGGACATAAAAGGCAACCTGATACTGATATATTTTTTTTAATGTAAATTTATCTGATTGCAAGTTTTCTGTGTGAAGTGAAGCAAATAATAAATAAAAGCTGTTGTATTTAGGAAAAAATATATAGCCCTTTAAAATATGACAAAATAAAAATAGAAAATTTAAGATATATTTGGAAATAAATATTTATTTTGACAAATTGCTGCTGTAAATTTTGTCTGATGTGTTTCTGTGAGATTAAGGTGAACATGTGTCTACAGTGCAAAACAATTAAAACAATTACGAACCTCTGTTTATCTCATGATATTTCTAAGGCTTAATGCTTGAGCAGGAGAATATTTATAGTGTAGGTTAAACCTACAACTTACTCTGTCTCCGTTCCACTTCTATTCCAAGCTTCCTAAAAAGGAAGCTAAAATTACAGCAGTATTTTTGGTCTTGAACAAGTGTTGCTGAACCTGCAAAGAGAACGTGCAATTTAATCTTGCTGAACATCTTCACATCTTGTGAGGAATAACTAGCCTGTTTGCAGCTTCCCTTCCTTGATTGTCTGGTTATTTGCTTTTGCCTTGTGTTACTCCTAGGTTTGGCTTCTTTTCTTTAGGAGAGATCCTGAACTTACACCTTGAAACATGCTCCAAATTGCTAATCAAGTTCTTCTTTTTCATCTGTGAACATCTTCTTATTTTGACAACTGAATGGTTGGGCTAGTACCTGTGACTGGTAATATCTTTGGAGATAGGATTATGTTACTTAGTGCTGCTTTATACTGAGAGAGGGTAAACACCATCATGTTTTTCCTCACCGTCTTACTTTCCCTGTAAATCTGCAGTGTTTTTCAAGAGGTGTATGTGTTAGTGTTAGAAAACTGTATGGTTATTAGATCTCTCAGATAAGAGTGGGCAGCTCCTCACACGTGGTGGAGTCATTTTGATTACCTTGTTACTTAAAATGTACCTTACTGTTCATGGCTGTTAAAATTTCTGCTGGTCTTATCTCACTCGGTCCAAGCCATGGCAGATTTTCATGCTGGGGGAGAATATGCAGGGTTGCCAGTCCCTACTGAGCTGTGGGCTCTCATTCTTCTGATAGCTGAACAACCTGACTAACTGACAGAAATGCCTGGCAGGAGGCAGTTGTCGCCAACCTAGCAAGGCAAACAGGCAAGAGAATTGGAAGGTGTGCTGCTCAGAAGAGTGTCTGTCCTGAAACTCGCATTCTTCCCAAACATGGAATGAAAAATGCATATTTGGGTTTTTTAAAAGCAGCACCTCATCACTTCTGACTGCTGAGGAATTTATTTCCAGATATATTCCCTGTGGTCTAACCAGTGATTTTCACTGTGCCCTATTCCTGAGAAAAAGGAGTAAGCTGCTACCGTAAATCATATTTGAAATATTCAAACAATTTTCCTCAGTGAGGGAATATCAGCAGTACTAATTTATTTTGTTTTGGCCAAGAAGCTGTGGGAACGTGAGTCATCCTGCAATCAAAATAATACAATTTATTATGAGATGTTTAATGCTGATTCTCCTGCCCTTGAACTGCTGTTGCTGCGTGGAATCAGATCTCCCAATGTCATGCTGAGCTGTGTCACAGAGACAGTTTAAAGGTTGAGGACTAACTTGTAGATGTCTATTCCATAGATCCTGCCATTAGTGCCCAGGCTCCACCAGCAGAGCGCGAGGGCAGAGACATGCTTCAGAGCCATGTCTGGTGTGGACTGTACAGATGGTCTCTGAAGGGTGTCTCCTATTAGCTCCGAGGTTATTGCGCACTGCATATCACAGGTTTCCTCTATAACAGTGTTCCCATTTGGGTATGTTCCAGGCTTTGTTTCTGCAGAGCCCAACGCATACAGAGGACAGCATTGGTTGCACTTCTTGTCTTTTAGCATCTGGGAAGAGGGTTAAGATGGAAGGTGGTGACTACCCTGACCCACTGGTAGGTACTGTAGAGTATTTCATGCTTTCTCATCCTCTCAGATGTTCTGTATTCCTCTCTTTCCATCATATGCTCCCAGGTTTGAGACCTGATGAGCCAAGAAAGCAGGAAACACTGACTGTTTAAAAGTGCTGCTTCCCTCTGGGTGTGAATAGTGCTACGTGCTGGACTTCAGAGGCTCTTTTGTGCCTTTCAAGCTCTTCCTGGAAGTAAGCTTCTAGAATGAGTTTTCTGAAGGGCTCTCCATTAAAATTGCAGTAGCATAATAGTGGTTAGCAACCTGGCTTTGGATGTTAGAAAGTCAAGGTTTATTCTCCTTTCTGTCCATGGCCATTCAAACCTGTGTTTCCTAAGAGTGACCCAATGGCCAGAACGCATTCCTGCTCACTGTCCGTTTCTGTGAAACTATATGGAAAAGGAATCCAAGATTAATTGGGGCAGAAACAGGGAGCCCTAAATACTAGTATTTTTTTTAGCCTTAGACTTGGTGCCAGCGTTGACTGCAAGCTACAAGGAGTGTCTCGTTTTCTGTAGATCTGCTCTGACCCATGCCTATGAGATTGAAAACCTTATGGGACTTGAGCAGAGATCCGCCCAACTTTTGGATTTCCTTGGATTTCCTGACTTGAGCTGAGATATAAATTTGGCATGCAGCTGAATGGCTCGCTCAAGGTGGGAACAGTTCTGGTAATGTGAAGGAGGCAGTGACTTTCAATACCTTGCGATCTTGTGGATAAAATCCACATTTCCATATTTTTTTCTTCAGGACCAGGCAATATGCCAAGATGTCAGCTTTCTGCATTCAGTCTGACTTGAACAGCAAAGGAGGCAGGGGAGAAAAGGTTAGCGTTTTTATTCAAGAAAAAAATGTATTCCCTTTCAGTGTATTCCAGGATTTGAAGGTGTTGGGTCAAAGAGAATGTTTTCACTTCCTTTGATCGCGTAACAAAGAGGGAGTAACTTTCAGGCTTGTGTTACTGAGAGGAAGAAAAAAGAGCATGAAATGCAGAGTGACCTGGATTTCCAGAAGTCAACAGATGTTGAGAATGGTCACCACCTCATAGAAGTGGATTCATGGTTAACAAATGAGATTCAATGTTAGAAAGTGCTTGCTCTAGGGAGTTAACAAACTAGAGGTTTACCATATTTGGGCAGTGTCCTTGTCTCATTTCCAGTGTTTCAACATTCGCAAGACATACAGATATATATATAGAGAGAGAGAGAGAGCGAGAGAGAGACACTGCTGATTTCTGGTAGTACTGATTATATCCCAACAATTCTGAGGAAAATAGATATAATTGCTGCTTTGGGAATCCCATAATTGAGGAAAAGTAGTAGTTTAGCAGATGTTTGACCATAAAGTATCAAAGAATTCATATTTTTTGCATGTTTTTTTAAATGCGTTTTATTTTTCCTGATGGGTATCAGACCGTACCATTTCATTCTAAAGAATACTGACAAGTAAAATAAACCCCAGAGTTCAGCCTACCTAAATGTTTCCCCTAGAAAGGAGCATTCTTTGGATTCTATTTACTGTTTGCTGCAAAGAAACTGAAAAAATGTAAATAAAAGATGAAGTATTGACAGGCTTTTTCCCGATTTGTTTGTTAGAAGCGTGGGATTTTTTGTTTAACTATCAACATTTGATCCAGTCTTGCTCTTACAGAAGGTGGTGGGAGTTTTGCCACCTACATAGTATGAAAACGATTCCAGCCTGTTATTTAAAAAATGGCGACGATATGTGTCACAAAGCTGTTGAAGCGGTTGACGTTACTATAGGCTTCCAGTCCTTTAAGCCAGGGATGCCGCTAAAGTTAACGATCTGGCCCCAATCCTGGCTGCTGCTTTTTCCCCCAGCGTTGACGTTCCTTTTGTGTTTCTCAGTGGTGAAGTGAATTATGGAATTCCGCTACATTAACAAAAAAAGTTAATTTTAACGCTTATCCTTGAGTTGCCTGCATCTTGGAGGGACGCTGAGCTACAGGGGAAAGTGAGATCCTTTTGCAGGAAAGGACTTAGGTATGCACTTTCATTAGGGGCTTCAGTGCTAAGAATAGAGTAGAGAGAACTGTAAGCCTAAGCGAATAGCACAAGGCACATCCATCGTTCTGTCTGTAGTGGATCCCTATTTTCTGTGTGGAGGGAGCTATACATTCACATCATGAGATTATGAGCCTAAGCACTGGGTGGCTGGATTATTGTTTATTATTGTTTAGGCAGTGCTGTTTGCAAATATGATAATTATGCTACTGTTTTTCTTGCAACATTAAAGCTCACATCCATTAAGGATCTTAGACACCATGATGTTCAATGGCCTAGCATCTAGGTCACAATTTAGTCCAATGGGGTTTTAAAGATTTAAAGAGTAAGAGTATCTCTGTGATTTTGAGGGGAAGAGCATGGGTTCCAGCTGCTACTTTAATGAATATTCAAGTGTACTATATGGACTGACATCAGCTGAAAATTAAATTTTCCA